TTTTTTTGCAGTTTGTCTCAAAAAATTTCAAACCAATTTGACAATATCAATTTGGAATTTTTTACATTAACAGTAAAAGGAGCCTTTTTAATTGTTTAGGAAAATCTTCATATGCTCCTAATTTATGTGTCCACAAGCAAAAGAAAGAATACTATAATTGGAAAGAATTTTCTTGAAATCTGTCCTACCAGACATCTTTTAACTAAGCAGCTTATTTACAAATGTCCTTTGATTAAATATGTGAAATACAGTGAAGAGTTTGATGCTCTTTATCTTAAACTTTTCAAAATAAAATCTTCACTTATCGGTAACACATTTCCTATACTTAGCGCGCCAAACAACATTGGAAATCTTCTCATTTAACTGCGGAAAGTATTTTTATCCCATCTCAATGCAAAATGGACTGAGAACAAACGTTTTCGTAATCTCAGTCTTTAGCCATAGACAGCTTTATATCTTGAAGCAATCGATGTTATTTGTATTGAGAAATCTTGATACTTCTCGTTTATTTACTTATTTTTACAAACTTATATGCCTTTCATTACGTCACTGTAGAGTAAGTCCATTAGGTTTTAGAAGCTTATTGGCTAGAAATTAGTTGAAATAATAACATTTACTTAGTTTTGCTGGAAATAACTTCTCAGGTTCACGTTTTCAATGCCCGGGTAGATAAGAGTAAACTGCATCATATAAATTCTTCCTTAGTAGATCAGGCAATTGATAAATGAATTAATATTGTTAATGTTCTTCATTCATCAACCAGCTTAATTCCAGGTCTGGGTGATCGCTTGGAGGTGTTCAATGGTGGTCAGCACACCTACCTGCGAGTTCCCGGCCACTCCGGTCGAACATCTCCGAGTATCGCATCGAATACTTCCGAACCCGAGTCCTGCATCGACGATGGACGATATCAGGACGATGACGATGTCGTTGGCATGGGTAAGTGACCACTGACCAAATGATTTTCATTGTTTGAGCATTGCGCAAAGGAAGGGGCAGAGGATACACCTCCGTGGGTGGTA